AAATAGTATATGTATATATAAATAATATATAAATAGTACATATAAGTAGTATATATATATATATATATATATAAATATATATATATATGTGTGTGTGTGCTGGTCTATAAATCGATCCATTGTCAGATATACTCTATTCGGCACCCGTCTATGTGATGTATACTTCTTCTGTGCGAACACAGCACCTACCCCTTTTGGATACAGTAGCATTTATTAATAAATGTAGGCCATAACGAAAAAACCTAACTGTCACGACCGATTCGAACTACTGTAAGAGTTCGAAATGAGTGTAGAAGACGATGAAATTTCAGTCCTAACACTTGGATGTATACGATGGATGAGTGCACGTATTTAATACACACGTGCTAGTACCAATCTTTTCCTTTGCCGTTGCTAGCTGAGCCACCCTATCATCTTTGCCAAGCAGCTCTACTAAGCAATCGTACCCTTTCTTTCTGGACTCCAACAATGCGCGATTATTTCTTGCCGTAGGATCGACTCTTGCGTCCTGCATGAGGAGCTCGGCAACCTTTGTTAACCCCAGGTCACATGCACCAATGAAAGCATCGTTATCATGAGCAGACGGGTCGGCTCTTCCATCTTCCAAAAGAAGTTGCACAATCTTAATAAAGTGCTGGGTAGTGGTCCTCTTTAGAACTGTTGTGGAGTAGCCAGGATGTCTAAAAGTGCCACCGAGCGAGGCCTTCCGAAGCGCCCAACTGTGTCTTGCAGCTGGGTCTACCCTTGTATCCTTGAGCAGCATTTGTGTAACCTCAAAGCAACCATGTAGACTGGACTGTATAAAAGCTTCATTCTGCTGGACAGATGGATCAAGGCGGCCGTCGTCAAGTATGAGTTTGACAACATCTACGTATCCGTGTTTGCAGGCCTGCAAGAAAGAGCCAAAGTGGATTACTGCGGGATCCGTACGCGTGTCTTGGAGCAACAAACGCACTATATCTGGGTTGTTCTCGGCACAAGCATACGACAATGCTGTACTGTTGTCCACCGAGGGATTTACCTCGGAATCCGACAGAAGAAGTTTCACGACTGACGTGCTTCCTGCCCAACAAGCCTGGTTAAGAGCGCCGCTGAGCTCTTCACTTGTCAGATTTGTGATACGACAAAGTAACACTTGGACCATTAGCGGACAATCCATCACACACCCGCGATTCATGGCCATCTCCAGAGTGGCGCGGGATGAGAAGAGGTCCAACACACTGAGTGAAAGAGCTCGGGATGAGAGTGCACATGCACTTTGAAGTATCAGGATAAGTATTTGCGGCATCACGTTGGCCCCATCCTCATCCACCAGGCCTAAACGCGACCTGTGATGCCTTGACGTTGCCTTGACAACCACGTCAACACCCCAGATTGCCATACCCACACGTATTATATCCAGCATATCGTTACTCTTTCGGCGCTCACAACACATACAAAGCCCTTCCTCGACATCTTTGCGTTTCTCAAACCGTTGGAAATCCCGGACGAGCGCGTCTGTGCCTGTGAGACGATCGACGGTCACGTCTCGCATGCTGCGGCTGGTCAGAAGTACTTCCTGGAGATCTTTCACGCTAACATTGCTCAGTATCTGTCCCATTGTCTCCGGTGGCAGATCTATCAGTTTCTTCCGTTTTGGAATAAGGATGGGCTTAGTTGCAGACAACATTGTATCGATGAGTGTCTGTGCTTGATGGGATCTTTGCGAATCGTGTGAGCTTTGACTTTGTGAAATAAGTCCTCTGCTACAATCAGAATTATATACAGTAAGACATATATTTTATAACAATGAAGTTATATTTATATGTACATAAACACATCCGCATATATCACAATTTGTATCCCCAGAGGTTTTCTACACTAAAGACTATACTGAATGTGAGCACCCAAATATCATACATGTAAAATAAGCGACAGTTGGCGGTGCCAATTTTTAAAAATTATTAGCTTTTTATGGTTTCCAGGGTATTATTATATATGTTTTACAATAAAAAATGAAGGAACTCTGGAACTGAGGAATGATGACGCCACAAAATCACTTCTCATTGGTCAGTTACAGAAGTGCGCCACAGCAACTACTCCTTAGGTATTTAGCTAGTCATTTACACAGCTACTAAATAAATAAATAAATAGAAGATAACATAGCCCTCTAAATTGAACAGATAAATACATATGTAGTGAGAATTTTTTTAGTAGGACACTTGTCACTTATAGACTTGGTCTTGAAGCCCGAAGGGCGAAGACGCTGAAGGTCTGAAGGTTGAAGCCTGATATTTTTATGTAGTCAAATGAATGGCGAGAAAATTAAAAAGGTACAATTGTCGCCTCGGTCGGTGTTAGTTCTGAAATATGTATGTACGTGTTGTCAAATACGAAATGACCGCTTCTTCATGTCAGCTCTTCACAATAACAGATTGCATGTGCAATGTACTAAATACCGATGAAGCACAGCAGATTCCTAATAGCCTGACAGGAAAAACAAAATGAAATAATTTGTAGACAAAGATTAACGACACAACAGTACAGAAGTTTTGACAATCGGGAATCGAGTACGTCGATCAAGTGAGGTAGTCTCGATTATATCCAAATATACGAACGTATTATATGCACCTGTCTCCGGGTAAAGATAAATGGTGGAGGTATTCACATCTCTCGCGGTTCTATATACTCATGAAATTTCATATTTTTTTGTATGCCAATACCATAAAAATCAAGGTTAGTAGCGCAAACAGAAGATTTATTCCATTGGACGACATAAATGTAATAAAAATCCTTTACCTTCAGTGCAATATTTATATGCATTTATATATATATGTATATATATATATATATATATATATATATATATATATATATATATATATATATATATATATATATATATATATATATGTGTGTGTGTGTATATGTATATGTATATGTATATTATATATACAAAT